GAAGGATTAGATCAAAAGAGAATTAAGTACAAAGATAAGCTCATCCAATGTGTAGTAGCACCAAGCTGACACTGTCGGCGATTTCAACCACCAAATCAAACTTAAAAGGCAGTTTGATATGTTGGCTGCCTAATTAAATTATTGTCTTACTATTACAACGTTAACATTTTCTACGTGGATATGCCTTTTCTTTTTAATTATTAAAGTAAGTCGTATAGTTAGTCCTATTCTTCCTTGAGACGGGATCATATCAAATAATGAGATTTCTTGGAACATTGACATACTATGACGCATTTAAATTTGACTTTTATGAAGCCATGCATAATTTCTTTGTTTATGTCTTTTCTTGAGCCTTTTCCTTTGTTTATGTATTTATATCTGAAAGGGTCTGTCTATGTGGTGTAGATATTAGGACGATCATTGGGTGGAGTTATAGAGAGAGCCACAACTGGATGGGACATTGGCGTCACCACCGTTAAGTTATCAACGTCCAAGCTATTCAACACTCTCAACTTACCTGCATTTATGCAAGTTATTGAGTGTCACCGCGATGAGGTTTGTCTCAAAGACTATCAATTTTTGCTTTCTTTCTACTAGTAAATATTTCTTTCCCTTCGAATTCCTCTATATATTGTTTTTGAAAAGGGGAAAATGAAAGATAGCGAAGACAAAATTGACTAAAATGTGTGTGTGATTTGAAATTAGATCCGAGAGCTTCCACCAAAGGCAGAGGTGATGGCATGGTCCAATAAAACTGGAATTGAAATGTTTAGGTATGGTGATCACATAATGGGCATTCAAGGTCACCCCGAGTATACCAAAGATATTCTCCTCCATCTCATTGATCGTCTTCTTCAACGCAACCTTATTGAGGTAAGCACTACATAATACATATATGTATCGGCCCCATACTAAGTATTAGTACATTTTACGGTGTAAAACACTATAGTACAGTTATGAATGTTGTATATTTATATATATATATCAACTCCGATTTTGGTTTTAGTAAGATGATTCATCCGTCCATGTCTTTTTCAATCTAGGTGGTAGCGGTCCTACCGATGCCGTTCATGTTTTAAGAGTCCTTATCCCCTCTTAATTATAAGTCATAATCGATGAATCTATGATTTTATATTGTAGAATGTCAATTTAGTTGCGGATGTAGTCGACATAAATGTTCAAACAAAATTTCAAACTGCAAATATAATTTCGTAGAATGTTTCATATATCTGTCCATGTCCTCTTCAGTTTAGGTGGTGGCGGTCCTATGTATATTGATGATGTCAATGTTTTAGAATCCTTATCTAGCTGACCTAAAGTTTAATATAACCCCCTAGGCCCCTACTATTATGTGTGTCAAATGATGCCCAAAACAGTCAAACGTGCCACAGCCCACATGTTTAGAATGTGTTATTGTCCCTAGAGGCATGATTGATATATATTCAATATCGATGTGAAATAATTTAATTTTCCAATTATAAAGCTTGACTATATGTTAATTTTGGTGTATATAGGAGAGCATTGCTGATGTAGCCAAGGCGAAGATTGAAGGGCGCGAGCCAGACAGGGAGGTGTGGAAGAAATTGTGTGTTAGCTTTCTCAAGGGTAGATTGTGATTGAATATTCTGAAATTATTTGAGGCCATTGTAATTGGTCACAAGTGTAAATAGGAGATGTTGTTTAGAGGAATTTTTAAGGGATGTAGGCTGGTTTGTAGGTTGGACTTCGGCATCGCTTAGATGTCATCAACAGTTTAAGATGATTTTTAACTATTGGAATTGACAATGTTAATTGCAATTGCATTTTTTAGATTTTATTCTTAATTGTGTTGCTGGTCGTGGTTCCGTGGCTGACCATAACATGTAACCCGTCCAAAAAGTAAAACCATGCACAATTTGATCGCTAAAGTATTAAAAACAAGAGGCACAGAGCTAAATGGCTGATCACAAAAAAAAAAAAAAAAAACCTAACAGATGTATAATACATACATAATTAGTGTATAATTTATGTATATCGTTATGGACTGTAAATATTTTTTGTTGATCAGTTAAATATGTAACTTTCCTTTAAAACAATCTGAAGTTGACACATTTTGGTGCTATGGAGGCCAAAATTTACGATAGATGAAACTTGGCTTCTCAAGAATCCACAAACAAAGAAGATCAAAAGGAAAAGGAAAGATTGACAAAATACTGCATCTCTTGAACTTTGACTAGATATTTCAAGCCCATAAGAAATATTGGGGGTGCTAGAATAATCAATTGGCTATTTGGCCAAATTGTGGAATGGACTAACAAATTTGTTGGATTATGAAGTCATTCTCACCATTGTAAATTTGTAATAGTGCAGTCCACAGTTACCCAGGCTTTTAACATGTTCCAAGTTTTGGTGGTGAGTATAATTTTTGGACAACAGGATTCAAAAACTACTTGCGATGTACGCAGATAAATATTACAAGCAAATCCAAAATGGTATTTTTGGATTATCTCGCGACCATTTTGCCAAAAAGAGACATGTAATTTAGATACCACGTTGGTATTTTCAGGCTTAAGAGTAAACAGTTGTATGGTTCAATATTGGATCATTTAATCACTCCCAGAAGCAGCAGGTAAAATTGAATGTGGATCCAATTATAGACAACCCCATATATCTTAGGATTCTTTTTATAGAGTTGAGGCAGATTTCATTCTTACTAAAAACAATTAATCCCTACTTCTGTGCCAGATAATTTTTTTTTACATATGCAAACATATGAATGTAACTATCACACAAGAGATCAGTCATCACAATTTAATCATCTTGTAGGGTAGAGAGTTTGAGTGTTCGATCAACTATGCTAAAGAAAAGTATCCAAGTTTCAACTAGGGTATTTAGGAGATATAGCAACTAGGCTATAACTGCATAATATTCCAGTTCAAGATCCAGTTTTTATATTTTGTTATCTAACAGCATGTGCTGCTTAGTATTTTGCTTTAAAACTCATTACAAAGATTAGATCAAGAGAGTATTAAGTAGAAAAATAAGCTTGGCTTTTGCCTCGACAAATTAAGCTGACTCAATCGGTGATTCCAACCACCAAACTTAGCACTACCCACCATTGGTTTTTGAACACCAAAGTTGTTTCAAAAAAGTTTTTAATGGATAACAGTGAATAATTACAATATTATATCATGGTTATGGATTTAAGTACAATTTTTTGGGTAATGGTTTTTCAATCTTTTATTTTTATTTTATGTAATGTATTCTATTGTCATATAACTCAACCGTGGTTAACTTTTAAAAATTTATGTAAAAAGAGTGACATGTGTCATGCATTTACCGTTTAATGTATATTACCAGGTAAATATTTTTTTCCTGGATATCCACTTTTTTGTTAAGAGGTGATGGCCTGGTCCGATCCGAGAAGACTGGAATTGAGATGTTTAGGTATATATAGTGATCACATAATGGGCATTCAAGGTCACCCCGAGTACACCAAAGATATTTTTCTCAACATCACTAATAATTATCTTCTTAAACACAACCTTATCGAGGTAATCTATTACAAAATTGTTTGAATTTATGATTTTACGGCGTAAAGTACTCTACTATTGTTATGAATGTGATGTAAATTTATAAGTTTTAGTTGAAGGCTTCACAGGCGCAAGTCATTCTCAGATTGTATATACCCTTTTGATTTATGTCGTAGCTATCCTATTGACAACGCCAATGTATTAGAGTCCCTAGAGACATGCTTGATGTTCAAATCGATGTGCAGTAATTCATTCTCCCAATTATAAAGCTTGAATTTCATGTTACTTTGGTGTATAGGAGAGCATTGTTGATGCGATCAAGGCTAAGGTTGAAGAGCGTGAGCCAGATAGGGAAGCATGGAAGAAATTATGCGTCAGCTTTCCCAAGAGTAGATTGTGATTGAATATTCTGAAATTGTTACAACATATTGGAATTTGGTCGCAAATTACAAATAGGAGATGGTTTTAGTGGAATTTTTAATGGCCTTAGGCTGGTTTGGAGTTTGGCCTTAGTTAGGCATCGTTCAAATGTAATCAAGAAGTTATGATTGATTTTTTAACTGTTGGAATTGACAAGGTCAATTGCAATTGCTTTATTTAGATTTTTTTTTACTAGCTTCTCTATGTTGTTCTTAATTGTGCATTTTATGGTGGTTAGCACACTTTAGAGTGATGGAGAAGCCAAAAAACTACGAGAGATAAAACTTTGTTTGTCAAGAATATACAAGGAAGGGACAGATTGACAAAATTTGGCAGCCAAATCCCGTATTTTGAACTTTGACTAGAATAATCAGTTGGCTATTCCGCCTAAGTGTAAAATGGACTAACATTTTGAACTCAAGAAAAAACTCGAATTCTTAGACTCCCCACTAGTTCATTCCTGGATTTAAAGAATTATATGAAGTCACTTTTACCGTTTAGCAAAACCAGTTTGAAGTGGGGTAAAATGTGTACTACATCTTTTACCTATATTCATATCTGATATCTTTCTTCCTTCTTACAGTATTTATTCAGGAACTGCTACATGTGATAATAGCAAAATTTCAAAAATCAAGCGACAAACCATCACTAACCTTTTTCTCTTCTATACAAGACTAGGGGTGTACAAATAAAACCGACAAATCGCACAAACCCGATAATTCGAGTCAAACCGAGAAAAAAAAACCCGACTATGGTTTGATTTAATTGATTTGGTGTTGGAAAATAAAACCCGGCGATATTTGGTTTGGTTTTAACTAAAAAAAGTCTAACCGAAACCAAACCAACCCGACATTATATATATATATATATATATATATTAGAATTATTTTATAGATTAAAGTATTAATATAATATAATTTCTAAATATTTATTTAAATTTGTCAAGATCTTTGTTTATTAACAATTTAATAATAGGTTGGAGTTAACTTGTAGCCCACTCCTGTAGAACAATAAAATAAGCCCAAGCCCAAAGCAAATTACACCCTAAATCCCCAATGTCATAAATTGTACGACTAAATCCCTAATGCCATTAGTTGTGCATTCATTTCATGAAAGCAACCAGCCTTCAAATTCAAGGTTTGTTCAAGTCGTCATCGACAACCTCTGTTTAGATTAAGTTCAAGCTTTGTTCAAGTCGTCATTATCAACCTCCATTTAAGACAAGTTTATCATCTTGATTTCAGGTATTATCGGTGACCTTTTAATTTGTTTTTCAACCTTAGAAAGAAAGAAAGTAGGAAAGAAAGAAAACCAGAACTTCTGTATTGCATTGAAAATAAATTAGTTTGTGTTCCTCTATTTTTTTATTGTTTATTACAGACTTTTGCTTTGATCTTGAGATATACTTGATGGATAATGTGGTGAAGACCAGGAATTTTAATATCTTGACATGGTGGAAAGCTTAATCTAGTAAATATTCAATAGTTTCAAATATTGCAAGGGATGTTCTTTCTATTTCTATTTCTAATGTTGCATCTGAGTCGGCTTTTAGTACAGGTGGTCGAGTTCTTGATTCTTATCGGAGTTTTTTATCACCAAAAATAGTAGAAGCTCTTATTTGTACTCAACAATGGATACGATCACCTTCCAAGGAATACAAATTTGAAGAAATGTTGGAGGAAGTCCAGAAAATTGAGCAAGTTGAAGAAGGTAATAATTTATCTTCGATTAGTAATAAATATAGTTATTTTTGTGTATTACTTAATATTAAATATGTTAATTATTTCTTTTATTTCAGAATATCCAGACTCACCTTTGAGGATTGATTAGAGGGATAGTTAACTATAATTTTCTCCAGGACTATTTTTGAAATCTTGACTACTTAAAGGTAATTAAAAGGAGGTTCTATTAGTTTCTTTACTTTTGAACCTAAAGTATTTGATTATTTACAAATATTTCAGGCATTACAAAAGATTATCCCAAGGAAAAGGATGGAACTACATTGAATCTCCCAAAGACTGAAATTTGGGCCATCAAGCCTTTACTAACATTCTGGAATATGCTCCTCTGGTTTAAGATGCCCAACTTCTTAGAGTTTAATATATTCTCTTTTTATTTATTTTCTATGACTCTTGGCTGTAGTGTCTACTCTTAAAATGTTGGTGATAATTCATATGTAGAGTGCAATATAATTTGCAATTTATCTTTTTGGCAGTCCATGAGTCTTAGCTGTAATTCTATGACTCTTGGTTGTAACTATTTACAAATGTTTCAGGTAATTCTACGACTCTTGACTATAATTCTATGACTCTTGAATCCTGTCACAACTCATTTTCCCCCACAAAAGATATGTGTATGGATTATTGTGGGTTAAAGAGTTTTTCCAACTAAAGTGACAAATTTGAGTAGGGATTATTTTATTTACAGAGCCGCCACTTGGAATTGATTTTTTGGGTGTTCCAAGTCACCATTTATTTGAATCCCTATTTAAAGGAAGATTTGACTCTTTTATTATTGGTTTGCGAAAACAAAGTCCGGGTAAGGAATTTTGTTAACCAGGGAGAAGGTGTAAGGCATTTTCCAAGTCCCGTAGTTCCAGCACGGTCGCTTTATTGACTACAGCTTGGCTTGAATTAATTTAAGATAAATTTTGATTTATTGGTTTCCATATTTTATCTATCCGCTTTTAATTATTAAAATATAGAATTATCTTTTAAACGAATCACGTGTGTGAATCTGTTTTGTTTGTTATGTCAATATCTTGTCACGCGTACGTGCACACAATTAATAGCATTTTATTATTAAGATTATTTTGGCCAAAGTTAGCACATACTTCAGTTTTATTTTTGGAAATCACAATTATACCACGCGAACGTATACATAATCGCGATAAACTAATTAAAGGCGTGTCTAAAGCACTCTATCGATGTTCATTATTCTTCCTATATTTTTTAGATTATTGTAAGGTCATGAATTATGGAATTACTTGTGAAAAAAGTATATGATTTTAGATATTTGAATAAATAAACCATCATATACCAATACCCTACAATCCAAAATTGAAGCCCAAACTTATTAGGGTCCAGATCTTTCCAACTTTAAAGCAAATTTGAATACCATATTTCCAGAAACATGATTAAATATATAACATTTAATGACTAATTTACATTATTATTTACAAAGTTTAAAGGCAAATAAATAAAATCACATGAAATAAGATTAAAAGAGTAGAGGAAAGAATAAACCTTTAATGCAAAATTTCCAACTAAATGAGTTTTCAAGGACATATACAGTAACTCAGACGAACGTCGAACAAGCATAAGCGAAGAAGAACATCAAAGCTAGTGAACGAAGCTCCAACGAAATCCTCGACCTCGACTATTGACTTCACTTTTTGGAGTGTAAAAAGGGATGTTATGAAGTATTTTCGTTGGGTTTTGGTTGATGAATAGCTAGAATTTTTGAAAAGAAGAGACGAAGAAAGAATGACACGAGTAGAAATTCCCTTAGTATAGAAGAAGAAAACAAAATTCTCTTAGTTCCCTCCTCTCTTTTTTCTTCTCTTTCTCCCTCCTTTCTCCTCACATTTCTCTTCTATTTATAGAAAAAATTTCTAAATTGTTTCATATTTTATTTTATTATTTTATTATTTTTTTATTTAAAAACAATTCTCACTTCCCTTTTTTTTTAAAAAAAAAAAAATTCTCCACTTTCCTTTACTTTTAGTTTGTAATTTTCTATTTTTTTTTATTTTATTATATTTAAATTCTCACTTTTTTAACTTTACTTTTTTTATTTTCCACTTATTTTACTTTTCTTTTTTAATTTTCACTTACTTTTATATTTTTTAAAACAAATTTCAGCTAATTGGAAAGTTGATATCGGAGCCGGAATCCGATTCTGGAAATTTGAATAGCTCCGTTATGTCATTTATGACTTGTGTGCCAAATTTGAAGTCATTCCGGATTCATTTAATATGTTTTGGCACAAGATTTGCAAATTGAAAAGTTTAAAACTCAAAAGTTCGAATCGGGGTGTGAATTATAATTTCAGCGTTGTTTGACGTGATATTAGACCTCGAGTAAGTCCGTATTATGTTACGAGACTTGTTGGTATATTCGGACGGGGTCCCGAGTACCCCGAGTGTGATTCAAATCGAAATCGGAACAAGAATTGGACTTAAGGAAAAATCTGATATTTGGCCTTCTAGTGTAATCACACCTGCGGATTTTGGACCGCAGGTGCAAGCTCGCAGAAGCGAGCCTTCCATCGCAGATTCGCTCGGGCGTGGATGGGAAAACGTCTGCAGGTGCGGAAACCTGCACGCACCCGCGCGTCCGCAGAAGCGGACACAATAATCGCAGAAGCGGAGGTCAGCGCATGTGCGCATTTTTCCTCTGCAGATGCGAGGCCTCGCCTGGCAGCCCCTTTTCGCAAATGCGAGATTTTTTCCCGAAAAATTAGTAATTTCATATGGAATTATTTCCTATGATTCGTATTGAGTATATTGAATTGTTTATGAATAGATTTGAAGCTTTTGGAGACAAATTTAAAAGGAAAAGTTGTGTTCGAGTAATTGATTGAAATTTGCAAAGCGAGGTAAGTGTCGTGGTTAACCTTGACTTGGGGGAATATAACTCTTAAATTATTTGTTATGTGAATTGCATATGAACGACGTATAGGCAAGGTGACGAGTGTTTATACGTCGTCGAATTAATTATTTGTATAATTATTTGAAAATCATAAATTATTTTAAATCATGAATGAATTATTATATTAATTGTTTCACTCATAATTCCTTGTCAAATATTAATTCTTGAATTCCTGTAATAATTGCTACATGCTTATTTGAATTATGTACATTAATTGCTACTTGACATTTAGTATATAAAATATTAAACTGCCTATTTTCTCCCTGATTTCCATAATAAATTGTTATTTGTCATTATTTGTTTCATAATTAAATCATAAATATTGTATGCTTGTTGTCTTAAAATTTTATATTAATTGTTGCATTTATTGGAGAAATTTCTTCTATAAGAATTGGTAAATGAATAAATTGGAGGAGCGGGTTGCACGTCGCAACAGAATTGATCGAAATGAATATATATATATATGAGGATCGGGTTGCACACCGCAACAAACATATTAAAAGTCGATATTGGAGGATCGGGTTGCACGCCGCAACAAACTTATTAAAAGTCCATATTGGAGGATCGGGTTGCACGCCGCAACAGACTTATTTAAAAGTCGATATATATAAATATATTGGGGGATCGGGTTGCACGCCGCAATAGACTTGATTAAAATGAATATATTGGAGGAGCGGGTTGCACGCCGCAACAGAATTGAGTATGAATATATTGTGAGAGCGGGTTGTACGCTACATCAGAAATTAATAGAAATGATAATTAGTTATGACTGTTGGGTTGACTTCAATTATTATAAATGAGTTATCTGATTTATTTTTATTATTTATTGTTGTTACTAAAATTGCGTACAGGTTAATGTAAATGACCCGCCTTAGCCTCGTCACTACTTCGTCGAGGTTAAGCTCAGCACTTACCAGTACATAGGGTCGGTTGTACTGATACTACACTCTGCACTTCTTGTGCATATTTCGAAGTTGGTCCCATCGGCGTACCATAAACTTGCTCGGATTTCAGCTACTAGAAGAGACTTGAGGTATAACTGCACGACGTCCACAGTTTCTGAAGTCCCCATCTACTTTACTTTAGCTGTGTGTTTATTTTCAGATAGCTTTATCTTATTTAGACCCTTATTTGTATTATTCTAGAAGCTCGTGCACTTGTGACACCAATTCTGGGATGGTATTTAGACACCGTTATTTTTATGGATTATTCACTATATTTTAGACTTTACTTCCGCATTTGTTCTTTATTATTAATAAATTTAAAAATTATTTTAAAAATAGATAATATTATTCTAACGTTAGCTTGCCTAGCAAGTGAAATGTTAGGCGCCATCACGGTCTGAAGGTGAGAATTTCGGGTCGTGACAGTTGGTATCAGAGCACTAGGTTACATAGGTCTCACGAGTCACGAGCAAGCTTAGTAGAGTCTGAAGGATCGGTACGGAGACGTCTGTACTTATCTCTCAGAGGCTATAAAGTTTAGGAATAATATCACTTCTTTCTTATTCTGTCGTGCGAATTTATTCTATCATCGATGATTGAATCATTCTACTCTTATTTTCTCGCAGATGGTGAGAACACGTAATACCTCTACCGATGGAGAGGGACCAGAGCCCCCTGTGGTAACTATGACCAGGGGTAGAGGTCGAGGCCGGGGTCGTGCTAGAGGTCGAGACAGAGGCAAAGGTAGAGCTCAGTCCAGAGCTCGAGCAGCTACACTTGTTATAGAATCTCATGTGGATCTTCATGAGGAAGCTCCAGTTCAGAATGTACCAGTTGGGCCAGTTCAGGTCCCGGAAGGATTCATAGCCACTCCAGTACNGGACGCTCTAGTCCGATTGGTAAGTCTTATGGAGGGCGTGGCCCAGAATGGTACATTTCCAGTGGCACCAGCCGTCTCA